TTCACTATGGCGCTGAAATGTAAGTAGTGGAGATGAACAGATCAGGAATGATTAAACTCGTGGCATAAGATTTTAACTATGCTGCAAAAACACAAAATCTTAGCAAGAATTGTGTAAGAACTGTGTCTATGCCAAACCCATCAAATAAAATTAATTAGTGTTCTCATTCTCAGTAAACTAATATGTAAATTTTCAGATTTATAGATAAAATTCAGTTCTGTTTCCATTTAAATCAACTTTCCCGTCTATAACTGTTAGGAAATGCAACTTATCTTTTTTTTCTGCTGGTTGAAGTTATCGATGATGACGCCAATAAACAGATTTAGAGTGAAGAAGGAGCCAAAGATGATGAAGATGACAAAGTAGAGGTACATGTACAGGTTCACTTCATACTCAGGCTGCTCCTCCAACTGCAAAGGAAGAAAGAACAAATGAGAAATGATATTTAGAAATAGTGGAAGGTAAAGAGCAAAATTGGTGTTACTAAAACCATTGACAGGGTGAACATTATATATTTTTACCCCACTCAAATTAAGGGTTGTACGGTTTTTCAGATTTTCAGAATGGAATTCTAGTACTGCCATAAATTACACATTTTTGGTTTTTAAACATTATCAGGGGTGTGAAATGTGAATGTTTTAGTGAGTACCATAACAAGCAGCAAGAGACTTACATCTCTAGAGTCCACAGCAGCATACATGATGTCCATCCAGCCTTTAAATGTCGCCTAAGAGCAGAAAGAAAATGGAATAATGACATTGTGTGTATTTTCCAACATATTAAGTACAGGTGATTTAATATGCTTATAGGTAATTCAATAAATCTACTCTTATCTGATTTAATGAGTCAAAAAGAAACAGAAAACATTTTTTCCACATTACATTAACTCCACCGACAGTTTTTTCTATGAGAGAAGAGGTTTCTGAATTAAAAAAAAAAATCTTAAGACTTTCTGACCTTTCTGGAGTTGAAAGAAAGAACTCATGAACTAATTTTGGAGTTTACATAGAGGTAAGTAGGTATTCAAAGTAAAGAATCTAAGACATCTGGGTATAACCTTGTTTGATCTCTCTTGCTGACAAAGGTTACAGTGCACAAAAATTGACTGCTACCAAAATCTTTAAAAGGGTTATTTATCTGGGTTCTGAATAGTAAGGTGGGTGGAACATCTGGGAGAGGAGACGTCACCAGATCCGGTCAGCCAATCAGACGTGGAATTTAAGAAACATCCAAACCACATTGCAATACACAGAAAATAATATTTTTCTTCTACATTTCTTTAAACTCAGAGAGGAGAATGGAAGATAAGATAGATGTTGAAGACAAAAGTAAGGTCATTTATATCCAAAGGACACTTTGAAATACATTTACAGGCATCCAAACAGCTCTTAGTCATGAATCACACTTACCACTTGCAGCAGAGCCAGGTAACCAGCTCCGACGTTGTCAAAGTTGATTTTGACGTTCTTCCAGCGGGCGCTATTGTTAACCAACTTCAGGCAATCCGACTTGTTGTTGACGACGCTGATGGGGAAGAGCTCGTCTGTGGTGGTGTTGACGCAGTGGTAGTACTTCCCCGCAAAGAGGTTGACGCCCATGATGCTGAAGATCAGCCAGAAGATGAGGCAAACCAAGAGCACGTTCATGATGGAGGGGATGGCGCCAAGTAGAGCGTTCACCACAACCTGAAGGCGATCGTGTACAGGCCTGGATTTAGTCGTCTGCAGTGGCTCAGTCAAAACTGGTCTGATTTTTAAAACTTTACTGGTTGATTTCATAGAGCCAGAGAAGATATACTTTACTTACAAACATCAAAGTTATGTGAAGATTTAAAAGGTTATCAAAAGCTATTTCTCATCTATTTTGTATAGACACAAAAAGCACTTAACCCCACACACACAGATATTTACAAAGAAAATTATAGGTGACGAAGAAGGTGAACAGGTGAAAAATCTTAACATTTGATAGGTAAAAAAGCAAAACAGAAAAAACCTTAGAGAGGCGGGATGAAGTCACAACATTTTTGTTTGACTGTAAATGAAAAAAAGACACACAACAAAGAAAAAAATTACAGGTTAAAGGCACAACACAAGCAACATCAGAAACCAACGCCCGAGGACAGCAGTAACACAGTTAATCCATTGAGACAGAGTGAGCAAAGTCATGCATGCAGAAGAGTTGTGTTGAATTGCAAGGAGAGGAAATGTGTAGCAGAAGTAGCAGTAGGCATGCAGTCTTACAGGCAGGAGCCCTAACCAGCCATTTAAAAACATTCTGTCTGGAAAACAAGATGCCACAACAGAGAGCAAATTATGAGAATGAAAACAGAAATTATACAATGTCGTCGTTCCTTTAGAGCCCAGTTTTTGCGGGTGACAAGCAATTGGTAAGAAACTGCATCGAAAGCTTCGCAACATGGAAACAGAATGATGTGATAGGAATGCTTTGTTTCGTGATAAAATGGTGGGCGAACTGAAAAAAAAACAGCAACAAGTGGTCTGGCAAACAGGTTAATGGGTTGAAAAGTTAAATTTTTATAAACAAATTAAAAGACTGTGGAGATTATTGTGATTGTGGGCAGAAGCTGCTGTGATATTAGCTTAGCATAACACTCAAGACTTAGCCTAGCTAATAAGAAATACGGATTATACCTAAAACTAAGCTTTCTGACAGTTTTACTGAGTTAGATAGACGGTTTCCCCTCATCTGATTTACAGGTTAAACTAAACTACAATTACAACTGTTTAGTTTTTATTTAAATTGAGTTTGTTTCAACTAAGAAGCAACAAATGCCATATTAAGGTGGCCGTTGGTCATTTTGCCCCTGGGTCCATTTGTGCCCCTTTTTTTTGGAGTCATCAGCTATAGCAGATTTCATACCAACCAGGTGTCAGTTCCTTCCCACACTGAGCTTATTTAACAATCTAGCGACGACTAAACGTCACTAGAAATTCTCAAAACCTCATTGATTATGTGATTTTAAAACCTGTCAAATTCACCCTGGGTGTCGAGAAAGGTTTGGAGTTGATTTAAAAACCGCTTTCCCTAAAACCTTTGAAAGAAATGGTAGCTAGTTATTGGTCTGTGGCTTGAGAGAACCCAAAGAGTCATTTTGAAGTAAATGGCTTTGAAATAGTTTGTTTTAGAAAATAGAAGCTGGAGAAATGTCAACAAGGGGTACAAAATGGAGAAAGGGCAAATTGACCTACAGTCTCTAAAGGTTGAGTTTATATCTAATAAAAGACGTTTTAGTGAAAATTTATGAGTCAGTCTGACTCAAAACAGTCACCACCACGTTAAGTACAAAGTAAATGACAGTGGAGTGCATATTAGAAAAGAAGAGACATAAATAGAAGAGAAACATATTTTCAGTTTGTCCACTGACAGTCGTTACAGAAATATAGTTCTGTGCCGCTGTTGTCCCTCCTGTTCTTACCCTCATGCCCTCAAACCGAGACAGGGCCCTCAGGGGCCGGAGGGCTCGCAGTGTCCTCAGAGTTTTGATGGCGCTGAGTTCAGAGTAGCCCAGAGCATTTGCTACGAGGCTCACCAAGGACACCTGGGAGACACAGACATGCAGGGTGAGGGATCGAAGGGGGCCGTTTGCACACCACACACCGACGTAGAGATTTCAAGAAGATGCGTTAGAGTTAAGAGAGTAAGTTCAGATTTTTTTCCTAAGCATTTTTCTGAAATTAAGGAATAATAAGATCTTGTTGAGCATCAAGTTTTAACACAACACCAGATTTATTTTCATCCACATTAAGTCTAATATACTCACATCTACAATGAGGAAGTCAAGCCAGCACCATGCATTGGTGAAGTACTTAACGAAGCCATACGCCACCCACTTCAGCAGCATCTCCAGGATGAAGATGTAAGTGAAGACCTTGTCTGCGTACTCCAGCACGGTTTTGATGGTCCGCCGCTGCTCAATGTAAATGTCTTCGAAAGCCTGAAAGATTCAAACTCTGGGATGTAAGCTTTGATCTAAAACACACACCAAGTAACTGCCCAGAATAGAGAGTTCGACACTCACCAGCGCTCCACTGCTAAGGAGGATCATAAAGATGATAAAGGACTCAAACCAGTTGTGCTCCACAATGATAAAGCAGGTTTTCCTGAGCGTCCACCAGCTCTTGAACCAGCCCACTTCCTCGCTGACCTGGCAGCACTGGAATCTGCTCACACAGCCTGCAGACAAGTAGGAGAAATTAGATGACAGGCATTTGAAAATGTGCAAGTTGACCTAGCTGACCAAAGCTAAAAATCCCCACATTTCATGTTATGATTCTCTCACTCAGCAGCAATCTGCTAAAGACAGTTGTACAAATCTTGAGTGACAGTGACCTGCTATCCAAACACTCCTCCATGAATGTGAAGAGGCTTCCCCTGAGATCTGCGTGTGTGTGTGTGTGTGTGTGTAAGGTGAGTGATCTTTTACATAGATTGCTGTATGAAAAAAACAGCTATGAAATCAGTGCCAAAGCCTTTTGGATTCACCATGCTGCTTGAGGTTATGGTACAACCACAGAGCTAAATTGGGGGGTAAACACTTTTTCACACCCCTGTATGTCATGAGAAATCTTCACATGGGAGTGAGTGTTAACAGAGCGCTGTGACCTGGACGACTTCTGTCCCCAAATAAATCCAAATCATCATATGAAAATAGTTTTATGTGTGTACTCTTTGTCTGATATCAAAACTTACTTGATTAAGTGAAACATTCAAGTGTGGCAAATCAGCAAAAAAATAAATAAAATAAAAACAGAAGAGATCTGGAAAGCAGCATTGCATATTTGACATTTGTAACAAAGCGAATTCACTGCAGGTGTTTTAGACAAAATGTCATCTTCCGTTCCGTCCCAGTGACTATTTCTTGCCCGTCTCGCTGAGCATTTGTGTTCACTGTCACTCAGCTACAACAGGCCGCTGCTAAGCTAAAGCAGTTATAACGATTTCCTCTTTGACATAAAATGCACTCCCACCCCGACATCCTCACCTTCTGTAAAGCAGGCCTCGGGGTCCAACGACTCCTCTGGCTCCAGTTCCACGGATTCGGCCCCGTCTCCTGGGGGTCGAATATCCACTGTGCTCCCTTCTGATGAGCTCAGGGGTTGGGGGTCTATGTCGAGCTTCTACATGGATGGAGCAGAAGGCGGTAGGACACAGTCACATGATGCTGCTTGGGAGCATTGAGGTTCATTGGTTTTAGGAGCCAACCGTCTGAGCTGCTAATCATGGTCATTCTCCGTTCATGTGCTCTCCACTGCGTACCTCTACTGAGAAGACTCTCATAGCTCACAGAGTTGGGCTCTTCTGAAACTAGCATTGTCATCGTCGCATGCAGCATCGATCAAATGTACCGACAGGCTTTGGCGTTAGCTGTGCCAGATGGCTTCGAATTAGATTATGCACTTGAGGCGGAAGGTTGGGTTTACGGAAATGCACTGTGGGTACGTTTGATGTGACCTCAGTTCGAGGACGAGTGCATGCAGTATTCCAGTGCATCATCAGTCAAAGCCTGAAATAGTACCAAGCAGAACGTGGGGTCAAGTATTGTCATGTCCACTGGAAAAAGGGATCCCAAGTCTTATTTGTTTGCTACACCATTTCCAAAAGTTTTCCGTGGCTCACATGGTGGACTGTTTTACCAAGTCTCTTTTATAAATCTGAAGCCACTCCAATGAGGAGACAGAACTCTTTCCACAGTGACATGAAAACACACCATTTCCATTCCTTGAAAGCAGTGTAAAAAAGCTTCTTCTGTTTGAGTTGAAGTAGACGGATAACCACATTAGCTTACCAGCAAAAACCAGTACTGTGCACTGTTTGAAAGACAGCATGTGCTGTGCAGTTGGTTTTGTGTTTCCTGTTTAGAAAAGACCTACTGAATTAGCACCGATGCATACCCAGAAAACACACAGGACCTAATAGAGGACTCAAGCACTCATTGGTGGTAGTAAAGGTAACACATAAAAGGACAACAACAGCTCCTATTTCCAAGATTTTAAAATGGTTATCTTAAAGTCTAAAATGCTTTAGTTATTAAATAATGTACAATCTAATATCATCTGCATATTGTGAGACTTTTTGTTGACGTGAGGCCTCCTGTCTGTTTTCTCTGGGTGTTTTTTGGCCTCATGTCGATGGTCTCTGAAGTTGAGAGTATTGTAACATGTCAACCTAGACAGTGCAGCAGCCCTGATTGCCGTGGGACCCAGCTAATACGGCATGGGAATGATGGAAGCATGCTGCTCGCAAGTGCATTGTTTTTACGGAAGGGTTTTTCCCTCCGACTCTCGGCTCCTCCTTCGGCACAGACAAATCTGTTTTAGCTGTTGGCCTCACATTTTGCAGCTTAAAACTGGCAGATTTTTTATTTTATTTTATTGTTTCTTAGGAAAGTTTACCTTTTTTAACATGATGTGATCACAGTGAGACAAAAGTGGATAACACAAGCATCAAAGCCAAATGCTAATTAATTGTGTTTACATATTTTGTTTGGTTGTCTTCTTTTTAGTTTGAGATTTTTCACGATCCTCTCGTCTAAAGGGTTATAACAATCAGCAATGTGTTATCTCTTTTGAAACTCTGCAAAAAGTTTTTTTTTTTAAATTCATGTTTATGAAAATTAACTTGAATCTTTCATCATTCCACTATTGTTCAGGTTACACAGGTAAATACATACAGATTTTCAATGTGTGTGTGCATGGGGTCTGAGGCAGACAAATGAATTTTGTCCAACCACAGCAAAATTCATTCCTCCCTCCATTCCTTCTCGTCTACTGCACATTCTCCTCCGCCTCCTCCATTCCTTCATACTGAAGCTCAGAGTGTTGGATGCCAATCAAGTCCCAAAACCAAGTCAAAAACCAAGCAATGAAACCAAAAGCAAACATTATGCTTGATGAGTTTGTCTAACAATGGATATAAAAAAGGTGCTCATTCATTAAATGGTTTGTAACTGCAATACAGCCTGATGCCTTGAGGTTAATTATGAGGGGGAAGGGGATTAAGGGAAAAGAAAATGATCACAGCATTGGGTGTGCTGCTGAATGGGGCAGGGAGGGGTAATAAAGCAAAGACGGTGGGGGTGGGTGGTGGTGGCTGTGGGTTGGGGGGACGGAGGGCAGACCAGGCAAAGAACGAAAATGGGCAATCCATTGAAGGTATGAGAAAAATATGTTTGTTTGTAAATGGCATAGGCAGTCCTCATGGTTAATGCAATAAAGTGATCTTACAATTCTCTTCTCACTGAAAACCTTGAGAGCGTCTGTGAAACAGCTGGAATAACAAACGAGGGGGGGTTAAACAGAGTGAGTTACACACACCAACGCCAGCACATAACCTGATGCCGCTGGCGGTTCCATAAGGTCACAGTTAGAAGACTTAATCATCTCAGAGACACAAATAGAAACAAAATCTATTCACTGGTTATACTCAGTAAACACATGCTGGTGTCGCTAAGCAAATATACATCTGCTAAAACATGAATATGTCCTTTTTTTCTTTGTTTGTTTTTAGCATACAGCATGTAAAGAGCAGCTGTGATGTCAAACAAATGGTCCATATATGGAGCGTGCTGTGTCATGGCCAGAAATAGACTCCTGGCTTGTTTTGAATCACAGGGAACTGGCACCACACCCACAGTGACAGATTCCCGTCACCAGGGAAGTCAAGTCCCGATGCTCTGTCAGTCTGACAACGCTCGACAGCAAATCGGGCTTTTAGCTACAACGCAAATGGCAAGCAGTTGCAAAAAAGGTTAAGTGGAAAATGTGTCGTATCCTTCTGAAGTTTTATCTACAGTACAGCCACAAATTTCTATGTATCTTTGAGTTTTGTGGGATAGATCAACATAAAGCAGCTCAGGATTGTGAAAACCATCTGAGCCATCTGATTTTACCTCAGGTGATCAGTTTCTTTTCACAATTATTCTCTACTCTCTACTCTATTCTCTACTCTGTGATGGTCTGTCACATATGGGAAACAAGGAAATTTGTGGTCATGTCGAGAAAAATGTGAGAAAATTTATTTAAACACAAAGGCATAAATCACTGTAATGATGCCGTAAGATAAGACTTAAATATGTGTTTACGAAGCTTACTGGTAAGGCAGCCCTCTCCAAAACAGTGAGTCATGCAGTTTGATGATAAAACATAAACCTGTTGCTCTGGACAAAGACTAATTTGAGTCTCTTTTTGGCTGCCAGGATTTTATGCTTGAGATAAGACTCCATTAGCACAGCATGATGCATGTACATGTGAGTCAGCACTTGTGTTATTTTCAAACTGCTTGACTGTTAGATAATTGTCAGAAAAGGCCATTTCTATGCAAACCTTTATATATTCACGCTCTCATTTGTATTGCGTGTCAAATAATCCTGACATCACGATTTAATCAAGCTTTAAGAAAGACGCCGAAGTGATTTTCTAAAGCCGACGGAGATGTCAGCCGTGTGGTCAGCCGTCTTACCTCTTTGCTGCCCTCCACGTCAGAAGAGTCGCTGCTGAAATCCTCCGTGTTCAGGTTTTCAAAGTCCGACTCCCCCACAGCGATGGGCACGGTCACCGTAAGGCTGGGGTTGTGGATGAAGGACATGTAGTCGCATTCTTCCATTGGGTACTTGCTCGTGGTGTCCCCGCCTACCGCAACCACCAGCCCCCCCGGCTTCCCATTGCCCTCCATCATGTACAACCCACTAGGGTCTTTGGTGATCTCCAGTGGCGTGTGGTTGGAAATGCAGTTCCCCTTCCCGTTGCTTTGCAGGTCGTCCAGGGGTTTGCTCTCCTCGGCCAGGCCGGAGCCCTTGCCTCTGTCGAAGCAGAGACTCTGGAGGAACTGCCGCGCTTTGGTTTTGACATAGGAGATGCCCCGCTGGATGCGGCCGACGGCGATCTGGAGGTTGTTCATCTCACTGTCATCGTCGGTGGCCGCCAGGTTGTCTGCGCTGAACGAGCTCAGGAGGAGGGCCAGGAAAAGGTTAAGGACCTGGAAGGAAAGTTATAGGTGAAGAATAATAATACAGAAAAAAAGAGTAAAACCTACGGAAGAGGATTAAAATGATCAGAAAAGATAATTTTCTGAATTCTGAGATTAAAGTAGAAATTCTAATAAAAAAAATGTCAAATATCTGAAAAAATGTCAATGTTTTTGTCTTTTCCTTTGTGTTGCCCTAATCCTCTTCCGTAGAAACCAGAGCCTTAAACACAGAAAACAGTTTGTACCACGAGGTTTCCGATCACCATGACCATCATGAAGACGATGATGCACATCGTCTGCCCTGCCACCTCCATGCAGTCCCACATGGTCTCGATCCACTCCCCGCACAGCACCCGGAACACGATGAGGAAGGAGTGGAAGAAGTCGTGCATGTGCCAGCGCGGCAGCTCGCAGTCTTCTGAAATCTTGCACACGCACTCCTTGTAGCTCTTGCCGAACAGCTGCATGCCCACCACAGCAAAGATGAACACGATGATGGCCAGCACCAGCGTCAGGTTGCCCAGGGCACCCACGGAGTTGCCAATGATCTTGATCAGCATGTTCAGAGTGGGCCACGACTTGGCTAGCTTGAAGACCCTCAGCTGATTAGAGACACAAATTACAGGTCTATCAGTATTAGTAATCATAGTAATAAAAAAAAGCAAATAAATTTGGTGCCACGCTTACTTGAAAATAGTTCTAGCAACTATAAAAACAGAAGAGTCTGAGTTTTCCTTATGTTTTGTGAAAAGCTACTGATTGGTTAATAATCTCACACAAGAACGAAGGAAATTTTGAAAAGGCACCTATCGAACACTTCAAGTTTAATAAAAAATGAAGAAATGATTCACAAACAGGTTTTAAAATGAACCACATCACCCCTATCGTTTTTTAAGGTAGGGTAAGTTGGTCTTATTTTAAACTTCTCCTTGGCTGTTTTTAAACTATTTTTAGTATCCATTTAAAACAATTGCCATATGACTCATTTTACCTAAAACACTGATAATTACACCAAGCTACTGGTCACATGATACCATACTTATTTTAAACTTAAAACAGTCCTGTTGTGACTGTGTTCTCCAGACATGGGATGTGTTAATAGGTGACTGTTCTAACAACTACTTGTTCTCTTCTCTCATACAGTGTCTGCTTTTGTGATTACTAGTCACTATGTAACATGTTGTTTTTCAGGTTGGTTAGTATTTTTCTCAAATCTAGTCTAATCTTTCTATCCAGCCTGCTGTTTTTGGATAAGATTATACAGATTTAAATAAATGACGAATCTCACCAATCTGAAGGATCTGAGCACAGACAGGCCCTCTACATTAGCCAAGCCAAGCTCCATGAGACTGAGACTGACAATGATGCCATCAAAGATGTTCCAGCCCTCCTGAAAGTAATAGTAGGGATCCAGAGCGATGATCTTGAAGCACATTTCTGCCGTGAAGATCCCTGTGAACACCTGAAATGAACAAAAAGAGAAAAGCTGAGCCCAAATCTGCATTAAGAAAGGAAGTCAAAAAGATTCATTAAATTCTTTACAACTTTAAGTGTAGCAAACTCTCACCAGGTTTCCGATTGAAAGGAGGTTAGCAAACTCAGGGGTCATGGGGTAATGCTCCATGGCCATAAAAAGAGTGTTGAGGACAATGCAAACGGTGATCGCTAGATCCACGAAGGGATCCATGACCACCATGCTGACAAACTCTTTGATTTTCAGCCATGCCGGGTTACAGTCCCAGATCAGGCAGGTGTTGGCGAATCTATACCAGCAGGGCGGGCACTTCTGTCTCGACTCCTCCAGCTCTGGAAAAGGAGGAGCGTTCTTTGAAAAATCAATCAACAAAAAGTGAAAAACGTAAACTTGAAATGTGACGCGCAGAAGGACACTGACCTTCCATGGTGTTGGTGAGTATACTGGCCACGCTCATGGCTCTCTGGCGCCCCCCCGGTTCATCTAAATAGTCCATGGAAGGCTGAAGGAATCCTGATCGGCGCTTCTTTATCTCAGTATCTGTTGTTGTTCCCTAATAAATAAATAAGAAAATCTCACTCAGCCCAAAACTGGTTTAGCTGTTGGAAATTTGGTAGAAAAAAGTAGAAAAAAACCAACGCGAACAAACCAAATGCTAAGGAGGGAAATGTTCAAATAATAACCCATAAAACAATAAAGTCACCTCAGGCAGCAGGAGACCTACAGGGGAGGTTGTTACAGATGTCCCACCGACCAGCGACACCACGCCGTTGCAGTCTACGGAGCAGTGCATCTTTCCGTTGGCGGGCAGCACAATCCGTGGCGCCCCCAAGCTGGTCTGGCTGACGGCGCTGCATCGCCGCTCCAGGCGCCGTGGCAGGAACAAGGACCCTCGGCGACTGTCGTTCTCCTCGAAGGTGCTGTGCTCGTCATCGGCGAAGTCGTTCTCGGAGCCCATGTCTCGGGCTCGGCCGCGGAAGCTGAACAGGCTGGTGCGGCTGTTCCTCCGCGGCGAGAAGACGGAACCGCGGACGCTGAGGAGAGACTAGAGAGACGCAGGAAGCGTGGAGTTACTGGGATTTGTTGTAAAAATCTTTCACGTTGGAATACAATCATTAATATTTGCAACCTTACCCCTCAGGTAGTATGTTTTTAATATTTCCTGTTAGCCACTTTAACTTCAGGATGACAGCCATTTTTCGAGCCTTTTAAACCAATTATTGTCGTAGAATTTTAGCCATTTTTTGACTTGAATGAGCATTTTGTCACGTCAAATTTTTTAACTTAACTCATCCTATTCATAAAACTTGAAAGTAATAATATGTGTCAAAATCAGAAACTGAGGACTTTGCTGTTTGCGAGTCTCAAACCAGCCGTCAACTGGAAGAAGATGAGGATGTGAGACAGACTGAGACTCATCTTAATGATTAGTAATGGCTTCCACAATTTTTTATGTGTTCAGCAGTTTAGCGTTAGCTTCTGCCCATTTTTATGTGTTTAGCATTAGCTTCTGCAATTTTTTATGTGCATGTGAAAGAGAGATTTTGCTGAAATATTTGATGATCTCTTGCACTACATGTCAAAGGAGGTGAACCAGGTTATCTTTCAGGGAATCAGAGGAAGAGGTGGGTGAAAACAAAAGCATGCCACACTTTTCAGATTTGTTTTTGGAAATACTTGGAGAAACATGTACCACTGTCTCTTCACTTTACAATTCTATTGTTTACTGATCCATAGCACAAAATCCCCCAAAAATGAATTAAAGGTTTGTGGCTGTAATATGTTAATGTTCAAGGAGTGTGAATACTTTTGCTGGGTTTTGTCTTTTCACTTGTCAAGTTTCATTAAATTAGCTTTTAAATCCATGAACTGTATGAATCAGCCATGTAAAGTTGGAACCCACCTGGTTGGGTGAGGAGCATCTTTTCTCATAGGAGAGGCGGTTGGCATCGATGGAGAAGCGGAAGCTGGACCTCTTGATGCTGTCCTCGGACATGGACTTGTGGAACTTGTCGCACACGCCCCTCTCCTCCTCCTCCTCACGCTGCTTCCTCTTCTTCCGCCTGTTGCGTCGCTCCTTGGCGCTCTTCGAGCTCAGCTTGGACGTCCCCGAGGAGGACTCGGAGGTGGGGCCCCCTCTCCCGCTGTACTCGCCGCTCTCGGTGGCTGCTGCCGCGGCAACCTGCCAGCCAATCAGAGCACAGAGACAGTTGTCATGGAGACCCGGCGCCTGTCTCGGAGTGGAGGAGAGAGCCTGGCATGAAGAGCCGAATCAGCCTCAGACACCTTTCTATAAATGGACGTCTGAATGTTTTCACCTGAACCAAAACATTCGGTGCAGATGGAGGGGTACGGCGGTTCCTCTTTGCTTCCGAAAAACAAGAGAGACAAAAACCTTAGGAAGTAGACAGCGTCGAACAAAACGCCACACATATTTTCCTTCTGATTACTACAACGTGGAAAGAGCCTCAACGAAATGCCAGAAACTGCTCCCACATAAAACTGAAGCTGGAACCTTTCAGCTGCTGTAAAAGTGAACGCACTGCCAAATATATCACACACTCCTTCAAGTATTTAAGCATTCGCTCCAAGAAATCTTCTTTTTTTTCTGTTGTTCAAACATAATGCAAACAAAATGAAGGAACGAGGATTTAAATGTCTGCCGCCAGTGTGTGTGTTACAGATAATAACACACACACAGATGACACACAGTAAAGAATGTGTGTCATCTGATGTTTTCAATACACGCTAAACTAGGAAGTCAAATAAGCAGAGACATGCTTAAAATTGATTTTCCCTGCAGTAGCTTTTCCATTTTGGCTCCATCTTTGTTTTATAAATAAAGACATTTTGGAGTATGTTGTGTGTTTTGTGCACTTGAGTTTAAATATTTTCACAATCTGTAAACATCAGACAATAAAACCCCGGGGTCTCCAAGGCAACTCTGCCTCACGGTGAAAGAATTAGTCAGAGCACTTTGCGTCTGCTGAATACTAAACAAACAAATCAGAGCACTCGATAGGTTCTGCATACGTTCCAGTTTTCAAACCAACAAAAACAAAATGTAGGAAAAAAAGAAAAAACAAAAGAAGAAGCTTCCTACCTGCGCCTCCTCCTGCTGCCTTTTCAGCTGCTCCAGCATGGCTTGGAACTCCTCCTCCTTTTGCTGAGCCTCCTCGATGGTGGCCTGGTTCTGTTCGTCGTAAGCCATGGCTACCACAGCCAGGATCAGGTTAATGAGGTAAAAGGAGCCCAGGAAGATCACCAGCACAAAGAAGATCATGTAGGGTTTCCCTGCAGCGCGCAAAGTCTGATTCCACCAAAGCAGAGCAGAAAAACTAAGTTGGCTTTTTTCTTCTTTTACGTTTCTCTACGTTATTTCAGTAGACGAGAATGTAAGTGTTGATAGTGAAATGTGCTTTCCGACAGACCTGCTGGTAGAGGTTTTCCCAGAAGTCCTGCGTCATGAGTCGGAAAAGGGAGAGGAAGGCCCAGCTGAAGGTGTCGAAGCTCGTGTAGCCGTAGTCTGGGTTACGGCCCGTTTTCAGACACATAAAGCCCTCTGGACAGAGTCTTCAAGACACAAAACGGAGATATAAGTGACTTAATTTGAAGCAAATGCCAACCAGATTTACAGGAAACCCAAGCAACTCCGACAAAATAAAAGTTTTGAGACCCTTGGTTGCATTACAGCCAGTGGCAGTTTTTAGTCTTGGCAGTTTCCCAGAGCGTCATTCGAAGAGGGGGCGGCTCAGACAAGCACCTAATGTTTAAACAGAGCCAGAGGGGCATAAGCAGGTAAGCAACTGCTTATGCCCCCCACACCACTAGGGGGCCCCCAAGAGCTAGCATGATCATTTTTTTATAACATTGAGCAAACAGCTGTAAATTGGGGAAATATGATATCAAAGTTCTTGTTTAATGTAAAGTCAAGTGTTTTGTTTTAACTGATGTTACTTTCAAATAGTTAAAATAACAAGGCACACTTTAAATTCCACTCTGCATTCCAAAATCTAAATTATTAATTTTTTGCTTGCTAAATCAATAGCCATGATGACATCAGTATGATGTAGGCTAATTATAAATGGCGCTAAAGATAGATGGTATGTTACATACATGATAGAAGAGTAGCTTATGAACGATGAAGTATCTGGTGGAGACATGTTGGTATAGGGGGGTCCAAATAAAAATATGCTTAGGACTCTAAAAATGCTTAGGCCAGCCTTGTGTAAAAAAAAATATAACACCTGTGCCCTGAACAAGATTTCTTTTTTTTGAATGACCAACTGTAACTCTCAGTACTTCTTTCTTCTCTGAAGCTAGCAGGAAAACCATGTTTTAATCTTGAAAACAAAATCTAGAGTCTTTCTACGTATGAACAAACAAACCCAGTACATCACAAGGAGTCAATATAAGCCAGTAGTTTGGAAGCTCGCTGCACTTTCTGGAATCGACTCTAACTGGGTCTGCTCCGTTTTGCTGTGCGTCTAATTGGCCACATAAATAAAACATGTCAAGCCTTACCCGGCACCGCTGCCGTTTCCACAGAGCAGAGCATCCCTACGGCCAGGGAGGTGATAGTAATTACCTGCAGAGGAGGGCAGACAGAGGGACAACAGTCTGAGCCGCATCATACAGGATATTAAACAGACAGAGCAGAACGGGCATCCTGTGGCTTTTATGAGCGAGGATTAATACACAGCTATGCAGAAATATTATGACTACTTCAAGCGTGTTCACATGTGATGTTTTGAAGTATTTTATTGTATTTCAGTTGATAGATCAACACAAACAGCTGCATAAGGCTGAAGCAGAAGAAATTAGAAAGTAAAAATCTGAAATGTGCCTTTTTGTTCAGCTAATATCAGATCAATTACAGTTGCTTCTTTTGGGCTGTCTGCACCAATTTTTTGACATGTAGGAACATTTTTCATGTTCATATTGAAGAAAAGCATCCCCTCAGCATGATTCTGCCACCACTATCTTTCAGTATCTGGAGAATGAATTTCTTGGTCTTTCTGATTTAGTTTGTTCTCTAAAAAGCCTCTGAGGTGGATGTATACTGACAAACAGAAGTGGACTCTACTTATGAAATAATTGATTACTCAAGTCAATTTGGTTGCAGTGGGTTTAATTTAAAGTTTTCAGAATAAAGGGGGCTGAAAACAAATGAATACCACTTTTTTTTTTATCGGTCTTTGTGAAACAATTTGAAAATGATGTTGCATTTTCTCACCTTCCTAAGATAAATGGTTTAAGTCATCTTTTGCCACAAGTTTTTTTTAAGTTCTTTTTTTTTTCTTTCAAAAACATTTTGGCAAAAAATGACTTAGAACATTATTTTAGCAAGGTGATATTTCCCTCCCACTTCACCATCACTGACTATTTTGCGTCAGTCTGCTACTTAAAATCATTAGATGAAATTTGTGGAAGTAATATCGAGAAAGTGGGAATAAGCTCAACAGATGTAAATAATTTTATATACAAATTCACTTTTTTATATCCATCTAGATTGGATTTCTTTTTTAGGGTTTTCTTGTTTCTCGGACTGTAAATTAAAATCTCGCGCCTGTTCCAGTGGCTGAGCTACGCCTCTGTCGCCTTGTTAGTCTGCGACTCTGCCTCGGTTTGTCATGTGGCTGGTGCGTGTCTCCTTGGTGTCCCGCTGGCGGTCAGTGACTCACTCTCCTGCAGCACTTTAGGCTGCTCATGCCACACAGATGGGCTACGGGAGAATGACGGTTGCTGGTGAGGGGGCAAAGAGCAGAGGGGAGCTGGGGGGGAGGGAGGCTCTCATTGTTGGGATGATTATCCGCCCTGCGACATGCAGATCGCTGCGGTCCAACCTAAGCTAACCCCGCTGCGTGTCGGCTTACTCTCATCACTGATGAACTCGGTCCAGTTCAGTGTGGTGTTGAACAGGCCCGTGTCGTTGCTGCTGTTGCTGCTGCTGGCGTTGCTGAAGTTTGGCACGCGCACACACTTCTGCCTCAGGTTGCCCATGAAGAGCTGTAGGCCGATCAGAGCAAAGACGCTGAGGCAGAACACGGTGAGGATCATCACGTCCGACAGCTTCTTCACCGACTGGATCAGAGCGCCAACGATGGTCTTCAGGCCTAAACCGGGAGGTGGGGCAAAGTTAATGAATCGCAGTTTGACCAGAGAAGACACAGTTATTAAGAAATTACAGTAACAGGCAGTGAAAGTTCCTGTATGAATTATTTGCTGTCATCCAGGAATCAGGGTGACAAAGGTTTTTTTTTTTTTTTTTTTGTTTGTTTGTTTTTTTGCTCAGTTTTGTTTCTTAAAACATATAAAAGATTCCAATAAAATCAACTGATGAATATAAAAAAATAAGGTGAGGTGTGAATACTTTTGCACTCCAGCATTGATTCATTATCCTTCTGATAACTTCCTGTTGCCACGGCTACTATTGTTGCAAATCTTTTCTATGGGTTTCTTCATTTGTAGAAAAATGTGCAGGTTCTGGTTCTGTGTGCTTTGTAGTGCGGCAAAACCAAAACCAAGAGAATTTAAAGTCGGACTAAAGCAAATGTATATGTTCGTGTGATTAAATGTCCAACTACCTTCCTAAAAAGGCTGGCAATCGCACTGCAATTGATTTTACATGGTTTTTAAAGGGTGGAGAAAGAGTTCAAGTTAAAGTCCTAAATAGGCCCAACAACATGCAACCCATGAGCTAGTGGGCTAACTTCTCTGGCTTCAGGTCACGTGTGTAGCAGAATTTAAAGAATGTATTTGCAACGTTAAATGTGATATGTGCCAGATTTTTGTTTTTGAGTTTTGTGGATGTTCACAGGTATCGACTGTCACAGAAATTCAGCTCTGTATACAACGTCCTTTTGTCCAGAACACACACCATCCATCCTGTTGATGTATCCAAACCATCTGGATGCATGTTCCTCTGCTTTACTCAAACTCCAAATGTTTGTTTTAACAGCTATTTAGTAGATATTTGGTGACAATCATCTTTAAGTAAAGAGCTAATAGTGTGTTACAGTGCCATTCATGAAGTTATACACACTCATCAAACATGCGTGTCATTGATTTGGAGTCGTACATGATGCACTTGAGTTGCCTTTTTTCCCCCACACAATTCAATGATGATGAATTTTCAAATCTGGAGTTAGGTGTACGACTTCTTAAACCAGTAATGAGGGTGTCTGTATCTATGTACTTGTTCATGTGTATTTCTAACCATTTAGATCAGAGATGATTTGTACTGAATTTAAAATTATTTCATTTATCTCAAAGAGAAAAAAAGGCTGAAATGCATCATAAGACAAAACCTATCATGACACCCAATTAATGTATGAGTATGTAAACTTCTGAACCTAGCTATGTGTGTTATCAAGTACCATTTCGTACCACTCACTGTGCACTTTTACCATAAAAACACACAACATTGAACAAGACATGCACAGGAAAACAAGGTAAGGGAGGAACCCTGCACACACACACACACAAAAGAGCTTGCCACAAGAAAATCGGCTTTTGCAATGTCTCATGCAAAAAAGGAAAGAAAGAAATAGTGCACAAACTCTACTTGGAAGGCTCCCAAGGCAAGAATAGATTTCAACCAAAAAGAATTCTGCCTTAAAGGATGTGTCTTAAAAGCAGAGAATCATGTCAATCTGTGCAGATTGGAGCCAGATTCCAGCTTTTACTGGCCTTGGGACGAAGGCAGCATGAGGGACGGCGACAAGCGTCGTCAGGCTTAGCTACAGTGAGATGAGCTGAGAGGAGGGGGCAGGGGGGTGGGCGCATGGGTTTGAATGTTAGCGAAATGTCAGTTAGCCGTTAGCGTTGTATGTTAACCTTATTGGGCCTTGATGGCTCTCTCACCTGGGATGACTGAAATTGTTTTCAGGGCTCGCAGAACCCTGAAGGTTCGCAGTGCTGAGACATTGCCCAGGTCCACAAACTCTGTGACATATCTGTAAGGGAATGCAGTGGAGGGGAAGGAGGGGAGGTAGGAGGAGGGGGGAGGAGGGGTTTTGGAAGGGGGGGAAAGGTGTGGGACACACACCCCACATACGTACACGCATACACAAATCAGACATCCACACACGAGGCGTTACGAGACAACAAGGAGGGCCACGGGGAGAGGAAGGGGTGGGTTGGGGGAGGAGGAGGGGGACGGCAAACGGTCACACACAGAGGACAAATGGCAGGAGTTGCTGGCAGCAGGCGCTGGCGCCCTTACCTGGGATTACTGAGATAGTTTTCAAAGCTCGCAAAACTCTGAATGTGCGCAGAGCTGAAACATTGCCTAGGTTTACAAACTCTGTTATATACCTGCAGGATCAAATGCACAGTTACTGCAAAGCAATGCACAGGCAAACCTACTGCTCAAGTCATAACACATGGGAGAAATAGTCTGGCTTCGGAAAATGTGGGATAATAAATGGGAGTCTGGAGCACGACGCTAGAGATGCACCGAGGAAACAAGCTGACGAAACTCAAAAGTCACAACACTACCAGGTCAAAGTAACGATATCCTTCAGAGTTCTTCTTAATGAGGGAAGAAGACTGCTCCTCTTCCTCATATCAGTCATTAAATGTCTTAAAAAGTTCTCGAAGGAATAAGCACAAGCTGCATTTCCATTACAAACATGCACAAAATGTGTTGAAAAAATACAATCTTGCAATTGTGGCGTTTCCATTAAATAAGAAACGCAATTAAAATCACGTGAATAAGTTTGTTCACATGATAAGTCACTGAAAAACATCGTCGCCCAACTGCTTCCTGTCAACTTCTTCTTTGTGGTTCCCTCCAATAGCAACATCCGGTTGTCAATCACATGTCTCATGTGATGTGAAAAAAGTGTTTTCATTGCAGTTTTGCAAAATAAACCATTTTCAGTACAGCCAAAAAAACACACCTCATCCTAGAGCCAAAACATTTCAAAATTTGCAAGTTCCTATTAACCAAATTTGTCAGATTGTGATGCTATAAAGGTCAATTCCAGACAGAATTAGCATTAGCATGTCAACTCCTGAAAACAAACTCTCAAAAAATTTGAAATGAGCCATAAAACTCTGATCGGTGCATCTCCACATGATACAATATATAAGATACAAAATCTTTACCAACAAAGAGGCATGCACTGTAACACTCAAGTCTTTGTCTTGCACTTTAAAGACAAATAGCTGGAATCGCTGAGGCGCGATTCAAATATGGGCCAATGTGCGTGCTTTAGGGGCTCACATCCATTATGACAGAGTACATTTATGATTCCCTTAGCCATGCTTTCTAAAGGTACACTACCAAGCTTCAGATTACATTCTGTTCATCTTCTCACATTCAGGATGTATTAATCTTCTGGGCAGATTAACATTAAAAACTTTTGGCTGCTTAATCTGTGGCAGATCATTTCAAGACGATCCTAACAAGACTTTGTGGTCATACTTACGCCATGAGGATGACGCTAAAGTCAAGCCAGTTCCATGGATCCCGCAGGAAGGTGAACTTCCCCACACAAAAGCCCCTGGCCAGGATCTTTATAAGGGACTCGAAGGTGTAAATCCCTGTGAATGTGTACCTGGGCAGCAAGGTGAGGAGGAGAGGAAATGAAAACGCACGCAGAGAGAAAAATTGGATCTGGCTGCAACCGGCAACGAGACAGAGAGAAGCTAAGACAAACAGAGCAGAACTCAAACCTTCGTGTTACACAAAAAGAATGAATTCCCCTTGTGACAATCACAAATTTCAATGCCAAGTTCGGGGAGTTCGTCACAGACCAACACAAAGTGGTGAATAAATGTGACATGAAAGGAAACTCATACAAGTTGTCCTAATAAAAATCAGTATGGATTAGAATCCATACTGCACACATTCAATCAGCACCACATATACCTGGCAAACTATGAAGTACCATGTGTAGTTGGTCAAAAATTAATCATTTGGGCTCTTCAGCCTGTCACAGGGGGGAGATTGATATTTCAAAGTTGTATCTTCACCATTCATTCATTCTTTGAGTTTCAAACTAAACATTTAATTACCATGATAAATAATTTACAATTAGCTCCAATTTAAAAATTTAATTACAGCTAAATATTTAGCCAATGCTAAATACAACTGAAACAAAATTTTTAGTTACTTAGTGAGATATTTTTTTTGATTATAATTAATAGTTTGTTAGTTAATTTTTTAGCTTCAAAATTAATATTTTGGCAAGTTGGTTATTTTGTTAGTCTCAGTAGCTCAGTAGTTTACAAATGAAATACTTAGCTTGGTGGTGAAAGCTAATAATTTACCAACGCAATTTCATTAGCAAACTCAGTATTTAGTTTACAAACTAAACATTTAGCTCGATGTGACATTTATAAATGAATGAATAACATGTTGAAAAATGGAACCCCATTTAAACTCCCAAATTAATGCTGATCATTTTTCTCTACTTACAAATTAAACCCCGTATAGGACAGGTCAGTTGTTGCTTAGTTTTGTGTTTGCATTGTAACAAACTGTGGGAAAGCTGAAGGAGAATGAATACTTGTCACATTATTATAAATCTTAGTGGACGTCTGTATACTTACTCTACATTCTTTGCCCACTCTGGGGGGTTACTCAGGGTCATGAAAGCACAGTTGGTCAGAATGGTGAACATGATCAACATGCTGAACATCGTGGGAGCAAAGTTAAGGTGCACAAGGAAATCGGCTGATTGAAAGAACAATAAAACCAGTCAAACTACGTCTAGCCAGACAGCATTTAAACCAACACCGGCTGCCCTCTGGTTGTATTGTAGTGATGAGTAGATCAACAAAGCATTCAGAGCCACACAGTCTTTACCGGCAGCTCCTTTAACTCCCTCTATTGTCTGATAAATCCCTTTAATCCAAATCGAGCTGCGTCCACCAGAAACTCTGAAAGGATATGAGTGCACTAAAACTTTAATAGCTATCCTCCTCAGAGGGTTGAAGGGGTTTAGGATGTACAAGGCAGAAGTGGCATTGAAACGGAAGATTGCCTTCCCACGATTCAATACTATGAAGGTCTGAAAGACAAAAAAAAGACCCAAAAGGGTTAAGATTGCCATAGAAAACATTGTATAGAATGTGATGCACAATGACCATAAATACAGAAACCGAACATGGCAGCTGCTGAAAACTTATCCATGAATCAAATCGCTACACTAATCGTATACTGACTTCAAGAACATCGTGTTCATGTTCACGTGTGATAAATATTTTAACTCAACAAGACGTTCATTACTTTATATGTTCTGATATGGGATATTAACTTAAACAATCTGAGAAGGTCATTTATTTCTGCTAATCAACTCAAGTCAAACTCCTGTTTTATTACACAGTAATGGCTTTGTATTTAGTACTTTTGATGATTTTGATGGTTGCACAAAATCCAGTTTCTCTGGCAAATAAATACTAGAACTAAAATGTATAATTATGTTTCAATATTTCCAAGTTTCACTTTCTAAATGGAATTACTGAAATACATGAACTTTTAATAATGGTCCACTGAAATGATATGCATATGCATGTTAAGTTGGGTTATTTTAATTTTTATTTACCCTATGACTAACTGGAGGTTTAGCTTGAAGCAGATATCATGTAAATATTTTTTGAAAGGATATGGATGAAACATGAAACAACTCCTGGAAATACAGCCATTGATTTTAATGAAGCATAAGATTATTACTTTTTAGATAAGACACCATCTTTGAGTTACAGATTAATTATTCTGGCTTTATTTTTAATAGTAACCAAAATGCTGAAAATGATCTGTACAGAGTTCATGAAACTTTCTATGCAATTAAAAGTTTGATCACCAGAGAACAAACTTCAGACTGCAGACTCTGAAAAGCCAGAGTCTGCAGAGCTGCAATCATTCAAACTAGACTGCATGAGTCATACCTTAATCTGAAGGACAAATGAATTTTATTATGGGAATCTGTTTATGCTCCTTTGTTCCTCTCGCAGAGGTCGAGTGAAACCGACCTTCTGGTTGCTGTAGAAGGGATCCAGGTCCTCCAGAGGGGTTGACACCATGCCTGGAGGGATGTCCCCGTAGATGAAGGGCAGGGATTTCCCCGCCTCCAGGTCGCTGTTGGGCTTGGGCCCGTTTTCATCGTCATCGTCGCTGCGGCGCTCCGCCCGGGGTCGCCGGGCCTCCTCCTCGGCGATGCGCCTCTCGATGGCGGCCAGCGACTCGGGGACGAAGGGGCGGAAGCTGTCTGGTCCGGGCGGTACAAGCAGCTGCGCCATCTTGTCATCCTGCTCCTTCAGAGGGCAGCGAGGAGCTCAGCTATGGAAGAGAGCTGCTGAGAAATAAGTGGGGGAAGGGGGTCCAAAACACCGGGTGTTGTCATCACTTCTCTATTAAAGGCTCTTATTTTGACATGAGAACCTGCCATCACATCTGGGTAGACGTTAGGAGTGGGAAACAAGGACGCAGTGAGTCCGTTTCACTGCTTCAGAGTGACTAACGCTCTGGATTGCCTTTCTGTTGAACACAATAGTCTGAACATGTTGGGTTTTATAACTGATGACTGATGATGTGAGAACATGAACAGCTTCACATTTATTCAGCATCTTTTTCCAGATAGAGCTCTGAGGAGAAATAAACCAATACAGCCCCGAGGAAAAATATTCGTACCCCCCGATTGTTTCCAGTCCACTTTAAACAATGAATGTTTTCCCTCCTTCATACATTTAAGTGCAACTTTATTGAAGATTCTTTAGGACGTCCAGAAAATAACAGACAACCCGAACCCTGAGTATTCTCTTCATGACAGGGTCTTCAGTCAGAAGCTTCAACAGACTTGCTGTATTACAGACTGCTACAGGAAATCGCAGCCATCAGTATCTAGAAGAACTCTAAAGAAAATGCATGAATTCATGTTAATGTTATGTTATACATTAAGTTCAAGCTTATTTGTATATTACATGTCAGCGACCAGGCAGCTCAAGACAGTCATTAAACAGGCAATAAACATTACATTTTGTCAAATGCCATCAGATAAATCATCAATACACATCAAATATTTTAATCAGTGTTTCAACGTTACATGTCGTTATCTTCCTAAAATAATCATCAGTCAATGTTTTTTTCTTTTGCTAAAAGTGATTTTGTCAAAAACTAAAATCACTTTGGCAAAATTTTACTTCAGCCTTCATTTTAGTAAGGTAACGCTATAAGAGAGAATAGAGGTATAAATGTATTGTGAGGCAGCATTGATCTAACTAGTCTTCCCTATGTAACTCTCTATCTTTGTCTTTTTATCACTGTGTTCTGCCTCTTGCTACCAGAGCTCTCTGTAGACCCAAAGGACATTTTGTCCTGCAATAATTAACTACTAGATGGTTTCAGATTAGAACAGGAATAAACTAAAATCTTATCAAAAACATTTAGAATAAACCAACGCGATGAGCTGCTGCCATTTTCTTAATCGTTAGCAGCACCAGTTCCTCCCCACTGTCAACACCCAGGCCCGGTTTGCTCCCACAGGACAAGTGGTGAGAAGACACACAAACAAGTTCCTCAACAAAAGAGAGAAAAAAAACCCTAGTGAGCCATTATCAGAGGCTGCTTGGTGCTTCCCCTTGTGTGAGAGCAGTATTATTTCTAGAAATCTTCCCATTGGCTGGGATTCAAAAGAAGTGATCCCTGCTTGGTTCGTCACACGTTGTCAGTCGACGGGTGTTTCTGTTTCAAAGAGAGACAGTCGACACAAACAACCAGGTGTCATCAGTAAGCCTGTCACGATCAGCAATAGATCGATTAATCGCATCATAAATGAAAATGGGCACAACAATTCCCAACAATCGTGAGAGATTATCCCCTTTAATATTGTTGAAAATATATGTGATTATAATAACACTCTTCTGTGTGGAAGTGTTTACTGAAGGAAAACAAATCACATTTAGCCATTTTGTACATGAGTCAGGTGTTTTAAATGAAGTCATAATTGTAATAGTGATTATCTTGGTAAATATTGTGATTAACAGTTCCAATATGTGCCTGTTTTCTTCTTTCTTTCTCATTGGAGCTTCATGGTTGGGACAGCATGAAGCATCTTTTTCACACTTAAATCTGCTGCAGGTTTCAAACTGCGGTCAATAAGGATCTTTGCGACAGAAGATCCATTAAACACATCCTTGTGTGTTCTAAAATCTCCCAAAGGATCTTGTGTTGTAATGTGTGGCTTGACGGCTTGTCCAGCTGTTTGTAAATGCATTAGTCCTCATCTTCACCTCCGACCCTACACCTCTAAGCTCAACTGTCATGGTGGCCGTCTGTACAGCTAAATTTAACATGACAGACTGACAACATGGACGGCCAGAAGATATTTCTGCTTATGGAAGGATTACATATCTATAAACGCAAGATATGGTCTGACTCATACATACAAATACTAACTAGAGATGTGGACAATGAGCAACATACAGTCATCCATTAATTGTTATTCTTTATAGAATTAAATAATTACAACAAAAAACTTTAATGCTAATTTCAGGATAATATGTTCAAACTACTGTAAATAGAAGAAACTGTTGCTGGTATTTCTGGTGCTTTATATTGACCTAATAAGAAAATAAGAAAAATGTAAAACATGTTAAGTTTAACTGCTGGATGTTTGTGGTTTTGTTTACTGTGATTTTAAGAGAAATACAGAAACCTGCTTAATAAGAATGTGACATCTTTTGTGAAAGTAATGATAGTTTAAGACTACCTCAAATTTAAGAAAAGGTGACCAGAGTCCTGCTGGATCCTCTTGAAAATAATCTATTACTGTTATAAAGGTAAAGCTACCTGAAAGAATGGTTGGCATGCTAAAAGGCTAGAGCATCATGTCAGCAGAGGACTGCTTCCTTTAGACAAGTTTTACTCAATAACAAGCAGAATACATGTTTAAAGTTAACTAAGAAATAATGCTAGCAAAACATCCTGTTAATATCAAGCCAGACTGGGATTTAAAGAGTTAAAATTTCAGCACATTACTGATTATTTATTATGTATGGAGAGAACGATGTGTCTGAGATATATATATATATACACACACATACGTATACATACATACATAATACTTGTGTGAATATTTTTCAAAAGCAACAACTTTTGAAGACAGATGGAAACAGTCAAAAATGGTAACTACATACAGAGTCTCTCTTTAATATTACGCCTCCATTATCAGTCTTCATGCTCAGGCGTTCGCTATGATTTTCCATGGACAGATGGTTCGCTGTCCATGGTGCTGAAGAAGAGGAAGGCAGCTGTCTCCAAAACAAACAAATGGACACCTCGACTAAAGTCGCTTATTTTTCTGCTGAGGGTTGTCTAAAGCCTGCCATAGAAACCCAGCATAGATGGGCCGACATGGAGTTCTGTACGAGAAGCTGCTGCTGGCGGAAGAAAACCTGTTAGGTACGTTTAATTGGCCGAATTTCAGAGAAAGTGACCTTAGAGCAACTCTAACAACGTTTCCACGCGCTAGAAGCTGATACACAGGCTGGCAATCAGGCAGAAACTCCGCGCTCTGATTTCTACCAGCGTACATGTGAAGGCTGACGAGAAAGAAGGAAGTCGGACGGTACCTGAGTTGTCGCGACTTCACAATGAGCCACAGCAGCAGCAGCAGCTGTCGCCATGTTGACGAAGTCTCCGTATTCACCTCAAAAGCGTCACATTCGCCACTAACGAGAAGCACCCTCTGGCTACTTCCCCAGCAACAACAAGATAAAACCTCCCCAGGAGTAAACACTCATGACAATATAAAAAAAGCCCCGTAAGCGTGGGTATTTGCACGCGCACACAGGTGGGAGACTAACCGAGGTTGAGTGTTTCATTGGCTTTATAGACGGCAGCAGCAGACACCCTCCACCGCCACCTCCTGTTGGAAACCGGCTGAAGTTGGCTTCTGATTCATCCCACTGACTAAAGACCTGTTCCGCATATTTTACTGACTTCTAGCTTCCTTATTTCAGAACATAAAATGCCTGAAAAATGGCTAAGTTGTTCTATGCCAGAATGTTTTATATTTGCCAATGTAAACAGTGTTGTTGAAAAGGTATTTCCACCTGTTCAGAGTTTTTCCTATTTCCTCTTTTGTCACTTAAAAATGACAGATGTTAATATCAGAAATAGATAACGGTTATTTAACATAGGACAAATAATGATATTTACACGATAATTTAAAGCAAACCAGTATGACATGATTTAACTGGTTATTTTCACATTGATCATGTCAAAAGTATAAATAAACAACATAAATGCTACCTTTAGCTAGCTAAAGGTAAAACCAATTGGAGGGATTTTGTTTTGTATTCCCTAAAGTATGTCAATATTTGTTTTAGAAAAACATTAAGTCTTACCTGGTGGAAGTCATTCACGATATTATTTTTAATGCAAAGGATTTCTTAAGAGGCATAACTAAGATTGTTTAAATTATTGTGCAATGTTAGCTTCTCTTCAGCGGAGCATGTTTTCAGTTAGTGGTATCAGTTACAAAATAAAAATATTATTTCTGTTTTTGCTAAAACCTAGCCTGAGAAAATAAAATAAACGACTTCTAGCATTAATATTATAGCTTTTTTGTTTGTTTGTTTCTTGTCAAGCTGTTAAGCATGGTAGTGGTAGCATTTGTGCCAGGAAACCAATCAATATTAATAAGCTCTAGCAATATTGCCAAAAAGAGAGGTTGTTATACAGCCAGAATCATGTCTATTTGCATTCAGTGTTATGAAAGTGAGTGAAATAACCCTTTAAAGAAGCATCGAATCGCAAGCCAACTTCACCGTCCTCTAATGAACCGATCTGTAAAGTGCAAAAGGACATCATTACCAAGCAGACAGAGGACGACCTTATTTTTGGTAGTCTTAACCTATTGACACCTTATGTGTTATTGACGAGTTTAAATATGGCTGCTCTCAAGAATAACGGACAACGGAAAAACGACTGGTTTATAAATGAGCAAACTGTATGTTAAAGGTGATGTAAAAGTGACAGTTGAACAAATGGTTCTGAATGAGTCTGGGCGTGTCCTTCCCAGATGTGTGTGCACTGTTGTCATTTCCTTACATACACACACGCACACTGATTTTCCAAAAATAGATGGCGGAGCTTTTTTTTCTCCCCCTGTCACCTCAGTCACACGTAGGTCTTGCCTACCTGGTCGAAACCTGGATGAATGTTGTCCGTTTCTGCGTCACGTACCCTCGGGAATAATTTCGACAACATCAACAAAAAAAAAAGAGATCTCGAAAAATTTTTTACCAGCACGCGCACGTCGTGAAAGATTCTAGTATTTTTTTCTCTCACACAGGTTTGTTTGTCACGACTAGAAAATAATTTGATTCGTAATAGGGGTAGATTTAATCTTTAATAACTGGCTGGGTTTAAATAAAGGAAAAAATATACATTAACCTTTGCTTTACATTTAAACCTCATCACTGAAGGAGAAAAAAATAATTATGCATAGGAACAATGCTGAATATGCCTGGCACGCGCGCAATTAGCGGAGGGATATCATAGAAAAAGATAAGAACACCACACCGAAGCATAGACCATTGATGTTACATGGATCAATTTATCACAGAAAACGCTTAAAATGACGTCACACAAAATTGGCAATTAAAATGGGAGAGAAACCACATATTACAGAGTCCCAATAAACTGTCAGGCTACATATTTTTTATGTTCAGTAAAATATATGTGAATACTTACCACCATTACGGTGCCCAGCAGGTGGGGACCCTGAAGGTAGATCCCATATCCAAAAGAATAATCCTACAGTGATTAAATGGATGGTCAGTCAATGCGAGATTTAAAGGCTTTCCCCCTTCTTTTGTGAAATCCCGCTAGACGAACGGTTAATCATCTAATAAGCGACTCTTTGATGCTTTTTTCTCCCCTCCTTTTTTTATCCGCCCTTGCTTGCCGTGGAGAAATCATTCCGCGCTTCCGGTTGGTTAGGCACGGCTCGGCGGTCTGGGAGTGAGTGTCGTTAACACGGGGACCGTCACAAGATGGCCCGTACGTGCAGCACTTCTAGAACATTTCCAAACCACGGTTCGAGATGCGAGCAACCTGTTGTTCATCACCAAAAGCACCAAAAAAAAAGAAGAAAAAAAAGAATTTTTCAATATTTTAGTTAAAGTTCAGGTGATATATTTTATAGGTCGATTATTATTATTATTATTATTATTATTATTATTATTATTATTATTATTTATGTTTTGTTAACAAGTATTTTTTTATTTTGCTTTCTTTTCACTCATAGTTCTTTGTCCATATATATATAAAAAACAACATATGACTAATGACGTATCAATGCTGGGGTTTTTTTTCTGATCATCATAATTCACAATGGTTAAGTAACGTTTTCGATACTTGTTTAGGTTTTCAGACACGTGCAACCTCACGTGGCGACCACCTTAGCGTCCACAGACCACGTGTTCAACGAACTAGGCGTTTCACTCTGTTCATCTTTTCTGGAGAAACACCGCCACCTGGCGGATAATTTGTGGAATTACACAACCTATGTTACATAAGGAATATGGGAAGTTTATTCAATGTTGTAGCGGAAAGGAAAAATGGCCTTTGTAAAGGAAGTTATGTCTTTAGAAAACAATGACGTGAACAAAAATAAATACAATTATGTATCTGGAAAACAGATTTTGTTTTATGTATTAACACACATATTGGAAGAGTTTCAAATCAGTCTGAAACTGACGAACACACAATTCTCTACACGTTTTATATTAACCAATGCATTAAAAAGCAACGCCACTCTACAGTCTACCAGCTATTTCCAAATTATCTAAAGTCCTTTAGTCCCTACTATGCACAGTTTAAGAAGTATTTATGCATTTGTCTGGTCCAGAAAGGTTTTTATTAAAACAGTGCCAAGTAGGAGGACATCAGCATGACCCATGAGAAGAAATTGTTGTTGGATAAAAGACAAATTCCAGACAAATTGAAGTCCATTATTCTAGACTGAGAAAGACTGTAAAAGTAGAAAAAAAATTATCTAGACAGACACTCCAAGAGCATACGCCATTGTTTCTGAAGCAATTGTTTCTGCCTATCAGTCAGAGAAGTCAATATGGCCACTTTCAAAATATGAGAAATCCAATACTCCACGCTGTGCTCAAAGACATACTAAAAAGATCTATCTTAAAAAACAAACAAACCTGAAAACAGAATGCAGAAGTGTGAAAAAGTAGCTTCACTTTTGCTGTATGACGATAGGTACTGTGGAAACCTCTTAAAAACTTTGTAAGTAAAGTTAAAATTAAAACCACAAATTTTTATTTCCTCCCAATATTGAAGTACAGTTACAATGAATGTTTTTCAGAATTTGGCAGCAGGTCTTAGGTTTGCAAAGTTACATCTGGCATCTGCATTGCACGCTTGGATTGAGAAAAGCACTGCCATCTTTGCACATAACTGTACAGCTGAGGTTATGCATAAAGTATTGTGTCTACAATAATAATAATCTAAAAAAAAACATTCAAATATTGTCAGTTGAACAAAACCTCTGTTGTAGAAATGGGAAAGCATCATTCTCAGGGTGGACACACACCCTTGTGCTCAGTGAACCACGTCCTTTTCACATGGGTGAAAGGAGTTTCACTTCAGTATGAGAACATATTTGACACCTCATATGAACACACCCTTATAATCAGGCTTGATGAATGCATTTCAGTTAGTGTTTTGTAACCTTAGAATTTTACAGAACGTAACTCAAGTTTGCTGCCATGCTACTCTATAGAGTCATGGGTACACCCTTACAGCAGTCATTAAGATGTAAGATGGGAGAAAGTAGATATACTCAAAGTCTACAAAACATCATATTTCTGAGGTATTACTTTGTGTTTTTACAGCTATACAGAGAACTTGAAGCTATCAAATTATGGCATGTGATAAATCTTTATGTTGGATGTTCATATAGTCATATACACACAAAGCTACAAGGTAACATATCAAATCTACAAGGAACACATTTGTAATTCCAGTGTTCATGCTCTCCAGGGTATATGCAGATATATGCAGGGTTGTAAAATTAGTCAATGCAAACATCCTCTAACCCCCCCCCCCCAAAACATTATGTCATGTTTTCCTTGATCGTCGTATTTCACAGCTCTTTGTGAATTTGCAGTCTGTTTAATTAGCAGCAGAGGGAGAAATTTTGAAGCCTTGTTCAAACTCTCGCTAAAAGTGGCTTGTACTTCACATGCCTTCATCCCGTTGCCCTGCTGCATTATGTGTCTGAACATTTGAGATGCTTAAATTGGAGTAAATGTGAAAAAACACAAATGTTTAGAAAATCCTAATGTGTACATCACTAAAAAAAATAGTTTTACAACCTAATAGTTAAAGAAAATCTTGATTGTGGAGGAATGCTGCACTGCAGCGAAATGCAGAAATATTAAACCGCCTCGGGCCTTTTTAATATCTTATGTTTATTTAGGAGGATTTGAGAAAAAGGGATGAATAAAGCTGCATTCCACCATTTTCTGACGTGGGTCTGTGTGCATTATCTATTTGCTATGGAGTTGTTCCTTCCAAGAAACAACAGATTCAGCCGTGACACATGGAAACATTCTGGATGGTGACGAAACAGGCTCTCTGATTATTTCACAGTCATCAAAGGAAGCTCGTTATACCAGACAGTCACACAGTGATCTGTTTACCGCAGCCAGCCCCCGTAGAAACCCACCGAGTCCCCAGTGACAGACTTCATCATGAGATTACGAGATTACAGCAGGTGTGGACATGTGTTCCCCAGGCTTGATTGATTATTAAAACAGCTACTTAGATACTCACATGTTCTCAGATGAAGACCACTTTGTGCTTATGTCCCACAGCTGTGTGACTCCCTTTTATTTATTTGTTCCTATTCAACCAGCCTGTGTTCGATTTTCTTGAACATTTTCATTATCATTATGTCCCTAAGTTTACCTTAAATATTTCCCTTCACAGCTGATTAGCTCCTGTTCTCCTGTGGTCCCCACATCATGATGTTACCACCACTTGATTTGTTACATTTTTCAAATTTCATTCAATTGCATTTTTAAGAGTATAATGAAGCTTTGCTTTAAGGAGTCACCAGGAGCAGATGGATCTCACTCTCCACTAATCAGGTATGCAGCACACACAAACACAGACATGCAAAGTGCTGTCATGTGACTGGGCAGGGCCTCATAGGTGTGGTAGCCTTAGACTGCTAAACGGGGATTAGAAGGGAATAGAAATTTCTCCGTCTCCCTGGACCAACTCCTTCTGTCACTTCACAAAGCAGAAGAGACAGCTGAAGGAGAATGAGACCAATCGGTGGACACAGGTTAGTGAACAGCGTACAGATGGATTTATTAGAAGAGTTTCTGAATGTGACAGCATGTCTTCCCGCAGCTCTAATCCCTCTGCTTCAAGAAACAAAGTAAGCTTATTTAGAAGCTAGCATTACAGGGAAGCTAGCCATGTTTACAAGAGTTTAGCTGATGGTATTGGTATTGTCAAATATTTTACTTCTTAAATTAGTACCCTCTTTTACATCTATAAAAACAGCACTTTTCTGTTTAATCCTTTATCTATTCATATTCATATCGTTTAAAAAACTTTTTCATATTTTTTTTATATTACAACTTCAGTCTTCAGTATTTTTAATGAAGCTTTATGTGACTGACCAAGAGCGCAATTGCGAACCTTTTGGTCTTTGTACAAAACTAACAGATCATCACAAAGGTGGAGCATGGTGGTGGTAGGATAATGCTGTGGGGATGCTTTTCCTCATTAGGCATAAGGAAGTTGGTCAGAGTTGGGAACCATGCAATTCAGAATTTTGTATGTAAAAATATCATTTAAAAACTACTTATTTTCCTTCTTTTTCACAATTAAGTGCTATTTTGTGTTGGTGTGTCACAGAAAATCCTCTCTATAAATTGATGTTTGTGGTTGTCATGCAAAATGTCGCTGACAAAATTAGAAGATGTCTTGATAATATCTAAAGGAGAAAGCAAGTCACCACTCCACAGATTCAGAAATAGATAGATTTCTAAGGGAGGGGCTAAGGGGAAGTACGCCGTTGCTGTAAGGACCGCACCTGATACAAGCTACATTATAAATTAAATAGATGTTCTTTGTAATATCGGCTATGTAGACAACAAAAGCAGCTGTAGGTAAAAATAAGCGGTGGTGGGTGGTCGTGTCTGAGCGCGTACCACCGAGCTGGGAGAAAAAGGGGGCGGGCATGAAGCAGGCGCGTGCTGACGAGTTGACACACAGCTGTTTAGCTGGCACGCGCCACTGAACTGATGTAAATCTTGGAAAACCCAGTGAGACGGACTGTTGGGTTTAACCGAACTGGTTGACGAGGCCGAACTGCACTAAACTGAGTTTAAGCCGAGCACAGAGAGCTATTAAAAAACGACTAGCAAGGACGAAGAGTGACGAAGTAAAACTTAGCAAGGCAGCCGACGGTAAGTTGCTCCGTCATTCCCTGGGAAACGCTTGAGTTAGCAGCTGTGGTTTCAACTGAGGTCTACCTTTGCTTCTTTAACTTTTGAGGAACTTTACAAGGCTGAAGTAGAAAAGTGACATATTTTTCAGTATTTTATTTTGACTTGAATTTGATAAGCTAAGTAAAGGAATTGCTTTGTTGTACTTGAAACAGCTGCGTTGCTACTTTTTAAGTGAAGACAGGGCCGATCCAAGATTTTATGGGGTTCTACTTGATTTGTGTCTTGGGCCAAAGGTGCCACACTACACTGCATAAATAATTTGCTTTTATTATTGAAATAAAATGATAAATATATAAATATAAAACATGTCTAAGTTTCTTAAATAGCTATATAAATAATTTTGGGGCTCATTCTTGAAACACATTTTATGTAAAACATAATTTAATATATCTCAGTTTTTTAAATTGCTTTACATTTCATGTACTATAGTCTATCTTGAAATAATTTAATCTGTCACCTTAGTTTGTCAAGTGGACATCTGAACCAGCAGGTCAGTT